TACTGTGGGTATCCGCCGCCGTACTGCTGGTACGTTTGACCGGGGACAAACGAAGCCGCACCAGGCTGGAAAGAGGCAGCTCCGGGCTGGAATGTGGGAGCTTGTGCCTGAGGGCGGTATTGTGCGCGGGCATTCAGGTTCACGCCCTCGGTTTGCTTCGAGAGCTCATCTTCCCATGAATCGGGGGTCTGATTGGCCATCTTGGGATTTTGTGAGGAGGACAATCACGAGTAAGCTGGCGAGAGCGAGGGATAGATGAGGTTACAAAGAAGACGCCGTCAAGTGAGGGGCGCTTTTTGCGAGCATTGATTTTGCACCCGATGACTCAGCATAGTTTCCCCACCTCAGCGCCTGTCGCGTCTAATGCGTATATGGGTTTGCATTGTTTGCATCGTTTGTTTGCGTCTTCTCCCCGCCAACATGGTGGGGTGTTCTCTTTAATAACAATCTCCTGAGGGAAAATGACTCTCTGTGGGAATTACCTTTGTTAAAGATAAGAAATTGACAGAATCTAACTGACTTTCATGAAACATTCATGCGGTGGAGCCACGCTGGTTGGCTTGTTATCGATAAGCCTTTGCCTTCAGGGGCCACACATCCTGGCTGCCATCTAGATTGGCTTTCTTTTAGTTGTTTTGCTTCATAGCGAATAAGAAGTTAAGAGAGGAGCAAATCGAGGACGAGTGCAGCTGCATTTTTGGCTGTTAAGCAAGATGGACGCCTTCCTGGGCAGGGTATGCCCAACTTGTCCTCGATGTGACAGAGTTCGATGTTGACATCATTGGTAGCTCACCCAGCAGGCAATGAACTATGCCATTCGGTATGGACTGAATCGTCCTTGAAGCGGACTGACAGATCATGTCCTGACTGTAACTTCTTCAGCTCAGGGATAGCCATCACTGCCAACTATGCGATGCGACAATCATCTCGTCTGCTCAAGGTGAGCAGTAGCACGCCCGGTGGGAGTCTATAGTATGATCAAAACTCATGGACTTCCCATTCAGAATGTCGAGAACATCGAAGAGAGAGAAGAGCTCCTCTCTCTGCAGCAGCGGTTGCAAAGCAAAATCCAAGTCGGTTCTCTAATTCATGCGCTCGGGTCTTTGTACGTCATACTTATTTGGTGACCAGGTTATCTCGCCGGCCATTGATATGATTGAGTTGATGTATGCTAATTAACTGAATTGTGTGTATAAACTGCTGACAGTCGAGTCATCTATAGCGCTGCAAGAGGCAACACGTCTTTAGAATCTGCAGTTTCGCTCACGAAAGCACTTCGACTGGATATGCAAGCCCTCGGGCAGCGATTAGCAAACGCAGCTGCCTCCGAAGAGTTGATTCGAAAAGGCGCAAAGTCTCCTAGAGACCGCTCGCGTAATGATGCAGAGATCAAGCTCATCATCAGGGACATCAAGAGGCTTCTGACGCGAATTGAGGATGCAGTGCCGCTGATGAACTTGGCCATTACCACTTCGGGGGCCAGACTATCAACCAATCTTCCAGCGACGGTTTCGCCGTCCAGGTTGTTGCAAGCCAGCACCTTCCTTACTGCTGGTGATACTCAGTATTGGATGTCTCCCGCGCAAGCTATCCAAATCGGCCCTACCTTTACCTTATCGATATACATGCTCTTCGCGAGTCACGTTCGACCCCAGGATGAAGCTGGCATTCGAGAAACCACGTGGAAGGAGGTCATCCACAAGGCACGCGTGAAGCTTCGGCGAGTGCCAATGGATCTTAGTTTCAATACACCAGCTTCTACTTGGCGCGCTCAACTTCCAGCTGAGGCACGTATAGACGAATACCACTACCAAATGTTGATCATTGAAGATTTGCACGACGGAAGAGTGCATTCGTATGACGAAGGTGAGCCACAGCCGGAGCCGTACGAAGGCATTCGCCTAGCCGGCATGCGCGAAATACTCCCGATCCACCAGATATCGAAGATCTTCTACGCAGATACGAGCAAAGTCTTAAATATCAATACAGAAGGCGAAGTCAACAATCCGGTATTGTTATTGAAGAGAGATATTAATGCTATCCCTCCGCGGCGTATGCTCGAGCGTGACGAAACAGATTCGGTTTATGCTCAGGAAGAACAGGATGAGGAGGAAACTGACGAAATCCAGGCGCAGCTGGATGCTCAGTTGAATGGGAAGAATACTAGAAAGCCATTGAATCAGAGATACAACGAGAACTCTATCCCAGAACACTGGCGCTTGCCGAAAGATCTGGATCCTGAATGGATAGCATTCGAGGTCTATAACGAAGATGAGTCTTCGGACACCGAATCCGAAGCGGAGGAGGTGCCAGATAGGGAGGATTCCATCGATCCGCAGATGATTGAAAAGCTATCTCTTGATGCTAAGGACGACAGGTCCAGACAAACAACCTCAACCTCTTCACAACCTGCCGCCACAACCACTGTCTCAAACCCTTACTTCAACAACATTCGAACCTCCCTCTCTCTTCTTGAGACACTTCTCCGCTTGATGTCATTACAACAATTCCAGCAACAGTCCCACCTCTCTATCAGCGACGAGCTCCTCAACTTTTTCCTCGAGGAATCATCCACTACTGGCGCTGGTGGTGACGAACAACATCGCCAACGTCTCCGCGCAGACGCGAGACGCAGGGTTGGCTGGGATCCTTACGACGAAAGTCCTGTAAAACGAAGAGGCGAGGATTACCAGTATGGCTGGGATGGGACTCCAGTCGGTTATTCTCGCGAGGGAAGCGAGTATCCCTACACACCCACTGACCGGTATCGAGGATACCATTTGCGCTCCCGCGAAAATACGCCAGAAACGCCGTTGCATTCCCGGCGAGCAGGTTCAACCAAGCCTGATGCAAGGCTACAGAGTGCAATGCGGGGCTCCTCGGTTCTTGTCGATGAAGCGTCAAGTAGTGGTTCCCCTCTTTCCAGACGGTCGACTCCAGTAGAAATACTGGGCCCGGGGCTTGAGGAAAATCATGATTGATATTGACGAATATGAGGATGATCATGTAATTGTAGCAAATAGAGAATGTTTAAAATCGGGCAATCAAAGACATGTGCTCGTAAGGGCAACAAATTAGTTTTGTAGAATATATTCGTAGCTATGGACAATCCTTTCCGTACCAACGGTGAAGCATACGAGATGCCCAGCTAACAGGGGAAACAACAAGAGTGATTGATATCGAACAGATAAGCGCTAAGAGCTAGTTGAAAACAAAGAAAGACCCATAACCCAGGGAGTATCAAAGACAAACGCCATAACTCCTCTCAGAGCCTCATCAAGTCAGATTTTCAGCTGGACGAGTGAGTCCAAAAGGGCTGGAAGACAGACGCAATTGAGACTATGGGTAAGACATTAATGCAGAACATGACCAAAGAGAAGTGTATCAGCTGCTCATTCCCAGTCTTCGTCGCTGTCGTCGTCCTTGGCCGCAGTCGTTGGGCTCTTCTCCTTCGGGCTGCCAGGCGCACGACTGGTGTTGCCGCTGACAAGATCATAGCTGGATTCACTGTCTGGCTGAGACTGCTGGTCGTTTGAGCGCCGGGGTTCGTCAGGCTTGAGCAGCTTACTCTTGTCGACAGCGGGAGTCTGGGTTGTATCATTGGTCTTGACCTGAGGAGTAGAGGGGGAGTCAGTGTCGTCGTCAGAGTCGTCGTCCCAAGCAATTTCTTCCTCTTCATCCACATTGGCGCCTGCCACAATTTCTTGTCAGAAATTCCGGTAAAGAAAGCAAGGTGGGGTGAATAGTGACAAACCTTTAAGAAGTTCTTTGCGCTTCTGCTCTTCGGTCTCAATCACGAGGCGGAGGAAATAGTACCGAGACCAGAAGGTTGCATAATCAACCTGCTCAGGAACAAGCTTCTCCATGGCTGATCGCAGCTCGGGATACTTCTCCAAATCCGCGGCAATGGCGTCGGTCTTGTTGTCCACGTTGAACTCCTGCTTGAACGCAGCCCACTTCTCACTGACAGGGTCCTTGGTGAAGCTCTCCAGGTTGGAATGGATCACATGCAGCTGCGCCTCAAATCGCGTCGCATGAATAACTCTCTTACCCTCGGCATCCTTACTCTCGAAAAGGATCTTATTTGACGACTCAGCGTCTGGGGGCACAATGCTGACCGCATCGCGCAGCTTTTGGCCGATGGTCATGCCGAAGCGCAGGATCGCTTCGTCCGCAGCTTCCTCGGCCTTCTCAATCTCTTTCAGTCTTCTTGCAGCCTCCGCTTTAAATCGCGAGAGGAAACCCTCGCTTGCGCCCGCATCACTGGGCCCCTCTTCCTGACTTTCTCCCGCTCGGGACGCAGTAGGCGTCGGCGTCTCATCCTTACTTCTCTCCGACGGCCCAGAAGTAAAAGCTGTACTTAGCGACAGACCTCGCGTGCGTCCGACGATAGTCTCTTTCAAGTCCGAAAAGCCCTTGGCGGCCTCCTCGCTGGCCGCGGCGTACTCCTGCCTGGCTCCTTCGTAGTAACTCTCGCCTTGTTTACGGACATTATCCCATAGACCACCAATCTTTATACCCCAGGGGCTCGCGGAGAAGGCGCGAAATGTCTCTTGCAGTTCGGTGTTGAGGTCGACGTTGGATCGGTTGGTTTTAGAGTCGTCTTGCGAGCCTTCTTTCTTCGAGGAATCATTAGTGGAGAAGATCTCCTCTTGAATATGATCGTACGCGATATCCATAATTTTCTTGATGAGTCAATATCGCGATAAAGTAGGCGATCAGTACAAATCGAAAGAGACCGTCCTCGATGACGGTTGCGGAGGAGATAGCTGCTTGTTGCCGGTTGATCTGCATGGCGGTTCCGTTCGGGGCGTACGACGGACCGAACAATCATGAAATGCCCCACTAAGGGATCCACGATGAAACACTTAAGGATTATCACTACCTAGTACTCCGTACTACAATACGAAGAGAACCAAGGAGTACGGAGTAAAGAAGATGTACCAGCCTAATCAAGGATGTATGGTGTGCATGTCATAATTCATCAATCAATCCGTATACTATGTATCTGTCAAGCTGTAGGGTTCTCCAACACTGTCCTGACTGCCCATCCAGAAACCCGGCACAGGAACACTCTCCATGACACTAGAGGTGAGAAGTTGGCTGCGGGACAGCATTCCCCTAGGGCGAGAATCTTCATCTGGATCAGCCTGCCTTTTGAGACGATCCACTATTTGTGAAGACTCTACCTGCACCACGCTCTGAGCACGGTTCTGAGGGAGTAAAGGATCACCCGTACTCGCGTAGTCTCCGTGCCGTGCGACGGGCGAGGATTCCGGGATCATCTCCGTCGAATATTTGTCCAGGTCTTGGGTTTGGCTTTGAGTCTGCGTCTGAAAGGAGGGATCAGATAATGCCTGAACCTTGTGAGCGGATGACTTGGTACACGAAGTCTCTGTCATGGTTTGCTGAATGCTGGATTCCTGTGGGAAAAGCTCCGCCAGCTTCTGAGTGCTCAGCGTAGGTATGGGTTCGAGTGGAAATTGAGTGGCAGGGTGCCGTCTTTGATATAAGATTGATGCCTCGGACGACAGATTGGTTTCAGACTGTAAAGGCCCAGGCTCATCTTCCAAACCAGGATGCATTATAGGTGGAGGGAGGTCTTGGGAGTCATTGAGTGGTGATCTGTCTTCATCCTCGTCGGCTTGATCCTCAAAAACAACCGCATTCGGCTCGTCATGCGGCCCAGAGACTATGGGCTCATCATCACTATAGTCCGTTTCGGCGTCCGTTTCATACACTACTGTTCTCTCCGTACTCGGTGGAGGTTTGTCAGGTTCGGGTTTCTCCTCCAACTCAGACGCGGAAGCGGATGGTCCCTTTGCTGAATTCGACTGTGTCTCTTCACCATCAAAGGTCGTTTCATCATCAACAGCAAGCTGGGATGACAATGCAGAATCGGGCATCATGGACGACGACAATTGATCTTCAACCATTGACACCTGCCTTGTGATTATTTCCGTCTGGTCCAAGCTAGGCGATTCTTCTTTGATGGTAGGAGTGGGCTTGGTCGAAGAATTAATGTTGGGAGGGGATCGAGTAGCGTTTCGAAATTGTGATGATGAAATTATCGCAACCCCAGGACTTTCGGGTGACTGAGAGGAAGGTATTTCAGATTTCCGTGGTTTTCGTGGCGTATACGGGCTTCCTTTCAAGATTTTCTTTTCCGGTGTCGAAGTACTGGACAAGACTTCTTTCATATCCTCCTCAGCCTCCAGCTTCCTCTTCTTGCTCGAGCTTAAGGATTCTTGGGCGCTGGCATACTCAGTGGGCGCAGACTCAAGCCCACGAGGGAGTTTTGCTTTGAATTTCTGGTTATCATTCTTCTTCGGAGTGATATAGGTGTACTCCAGCTTGACTTCATCGTCAGGCTCGATCTTCAGGTAACGCCGCACGTAATCCATCTGAGTGAGTGTCTTGTCCTTTTGCTGCTTCTCCGTCCTCTTCTTGTTGCCCTTGACACTTTCGATACTCTTCCTTCCGGGTCGCTTTTCAGCTGGACCAGCTTGGTTTGTACCCCTTCTCAGCCCCGATGCATTGCGCGCGGCATCTGGTCTTTGTTTGGCGCCCCCGGTGCGCCGGGCCCGTGTATGTGAGGTTGGTTGATAACTAGCATCGCCATCGGAATTGTCATCTATCTCGATCACCTGACGACTATCCGGATTATTATCTTGAGCGGCATCATCGATATAATCGAGATTGTCATCATCATCATCGGATTCGGCGTTCTGTGTCCTTGGTGTCACAAAGTCAATCTGCGTAAGTGTAGGTTGATCCCTGGAGAGCAAGCTTCCTTTCCACGATTTAGACGTTGAGGCTGAGGATAATGGAGTCGCAATTTGCTTTTTTGATGTTGACGTTTCTTTTCGCTCTCTAGAAGTGGTGGAAGAACCTGGTATAGGAGGCTTGTTCGGCGTTCGAAATTGTTCCTGAGCAGATTTTGCGTTTGTACTTGGTCTGTCACCTTGTCTCATCGCAAACTGAAGTAGCTATATCAAGATTTGAAGGAACTAAGAAACGAAATGAAACCATAAGTAGAGTTGCGGCTGTTGATGGTACATAATGCACAATGCTTTCTTATCGGGCGGTTCGCGTCGTCAGACGCGTCCGATCCATATGACATCGGCGGTGGTCTGTGCACACATATATCCCCTTCTAGGCAGCACTCGCCTAATATTCAGACAATCTGTCGACTCTACAATAGCAGGGTATCTATTTCCAACACGCCAAATGACAAACTGCACTATACATGATGCACGCATAATCATGAAATAGCGATCCAAAATCAGACGAGCTCATACTAGCCACTCTGGAATCGCATCCTCATCTTCGGGATCATGCGACAACAATGACCCATTGTCATCAGCTTCTGATATCTCGTCCATTTCCTCTGGTGTGTGAGCTCGCGATTGGGTCTGCGATGCTGCCCGCGACAGTATCTCAACACTAGTTGATTTGGAGCCGCCTGCTGTTGAAGAGTCGACGATAATGGGAGCTTGCGATGAGCCTGCAGGACCAGTCTGCCCAGAGCTCTTCACACTCTCAGCCTCTGCTGCTGGGTCAAGCTCCACTATTTCAGGAGATTGTTCCGGCTGCTGTTGGGAGGTGCCGTTCTCATTACTGTTTGCTTTCTTGTTAGGAACGACGATAAGGCTGTAACGAGAACGTCTTGATGCCTTGGCAATGTCGATTTCGGAAGTATTCTGACTGATTGCTTCTATGTGGTTGGCACTCTTGTCAGCTTTGAATCCATCACCTTGCGATTCATCTCCTCGGGCGCTATCATTTGTTGATGCTTCATTTAATGTATAATCTCGAGGCTCTTGTTCGGTTGATCGTTGATAAGTCGAAAATTTTCCTGCGTCGGCCATTTCCTGCTCTGGTTCAGGGAGAAATCCGCCACCGGCTTCCTCTTGATTCTCATAGCCTTCAGAGCTTTCACTAGCGCTCTCTTCACCTTCAATGGCATAGCGTTTGACCCTTTCTGCAATTCGTAGTTTTAGAAGAAAATGCTTCCACAACCGTAACATCTCTGTCGATCTTTCCTCGGACTCGGCTTGCCTTCTCTCGTCTTCAAGGCAATTCAAGACCTCTTCAAGCGCCTCCCGATACTCGCTGGCAACAACAACTCCTTGAATAACAGCAGTTCCATGTCGGCCCTTGAAATCAAAGCCTGTAACTGCGTCTGCATAATCAACACCAAGGACCCTGGCTGCATGGGCAGCTTGGGGATGCTTTATGTGCACACCTCCAGGAGGAACCATACTCGGCACATAGACATCCAGGTTCCCATAAGAGTTTTTGGGTACCTTCCCCTGCACAACAGGCGGCGGCGTGTAGATCTCGGTTTGGAAATATGCATACAGAGGAATCTCCACGCCACTTTCATTGTCGTGCTCGTCTTCGCTGAAACCAACATCCTTGTTTCTGTTGGCTCGAATATGTTTCAATGGGGGTTCGCCGATTTTGATGTCTCGTCCCAAGCGATACCATTTATCGGCACTGCGGACAACATGAACATCGCTACGGCGGTACACCGGCACCAACACCTGATCTTTCGATCCCGACTTTCCAAGACCGACTTGGCCAATGACGCGTTTGGGAAACACAACTTCATTCCGTCGAAGCTGTCGCTCAATCGCGTATATTGGGTGGTCTTTAAAGTCTTGCACATTCCGCGGCATAGGCTCGGCAGCAGTTTTCGCTGTCAGTTCGCTAATTTCCAACTCATCTCTGTCCTCCAGAAATGGCTTTTCGTACAAGCGCGTTGTCCTTGTCCACCATCTCTCGCCATCTTTAGTAGATTCAACACGCATTTTGCGTGTTTTTGCATTAAATGCTTTTACATAGCGCCTGGTAACGTCTCTTGCGGATGCATCTTCTTCAAACCCGACTACATAACACATGCAGTTTGATGGATCACTGAAGGGCGGCTCAAACTTAGATGGTTTTGCAATCGATTTGGTTACCAGCGGATCGACAGGGACCCATTTCTGGACTGCTTCATTGAATGCCTCGACCCAAAATACCGGATAAGGCGAGACTCGAGTGGTAAATCGCGGACCTTTGAGAAGTCAGTAATTAGAGAAGCGGGATAGTCGTAGACACGTTACCTGGAACAGAGGTCTTGGGTGGACGCGCTGGAGTGAATTGTGGTCGACCAAGTCTTCGAGACCTTGACGGTGGAGTTGGCGAGAGGCCTGACGTCTGTTGATCATCTGCTGACGTGTCATGGTTATCAGATGATATTACAATGTACTGGGAATTTGGCTTGTTCGGCGTCATGCTCTTTGTTGTCCCAGAAAATGGCAAAGGCTGGAGTGAACAGACCAGCCTCGCTTCCACAGCTGCAGAGCGTAGAAGAGCACAGAACAACTGAGCACCAAAGTCACGAGAGCCCTGCATTGTCCTAGCTTGCTTGCAGAAGTCTTCTTTTGACAAAAAGACTTCCGCATCGGACATAATAGACTCCTACAGGGATGTCAGAATGGTGGCTACTACGTGGAGCTTTGAGAACATACCGCTTTTTGCTTCAACTTTTCCGGATCATCTACCCAATGAGCTCGTTTCAAGCCCGGTCTATTTACTCTGAATCTCCTGCTAAAAGCATCACTGGCTTGATTCAGCCCCTCGACAAAAGTTGTAGACCGGCTGTACTGTGGTTTGTCCTCTGGTGGATTTAACATGGCTATCACTTGCTTGGGTAACATCCTCTTGAGGAAGCTCTAGATTGCATGTTAATATCGAGTGGACTGAGGAGAGGGTACCCCTCATGCTAAGCGTATGGTTGCGTACCTGTAGTTCATCGTCGTTGCACCATAGATTCCGTATTTGCACATGGCGGAGGAGACAGAGCACATGAACTTTGTGTATATCTAATCTGAGCTTTTTCTCGGCTGCGGTGAGTGGCTTTTGCCTTGAGATTACTTTCCGTCTCTTTCCTTCATGATTGTCGAGAGTGATCTGGAGTGATTCATCGTCGCCCCTCGTCGTCACAGGACCTATCTGAATGGACTGAGCTGGGGTTTGTAGAAGGTCAACTTCTTCCCACTCCATATCGGATTCTTCTGACGTGGGCTCGTCATAGACTGTCTGTATCTGCCGGCTGGCTTGGCCTTGATCCTCCTTTGGCAGTGGTATTTGAGGCACAGAAACAACATCAGAAGTTGTAGCTCTCTGAGCTCCAACCTTTCGTTTCTTGATAGGACGATCCGCATCCGAGACATCTGGACTCCGGAATTCTGCTTCAGCGAGCATTTCCCGGTAGACTTCGGGTATTTCATCTTCCTCCTCGTGTCCTTTGGGTCGACCACGAGGGCGTCCGCCCCTGGCCGAGCGGTAAGGAGGTGCATGGCGCATGATGTCGGAGTTTTTTTGAGTGGCAGCATGAAGCAATATCTATATCTGACCTCGAAGATCTATAAGTGCGGCCAAAGTTCGCATATATTGTGTTACCGCGCTCCTTGGGCGGCCAACTTCTTTCGATCCATTACTTAGCATCACCTCCCCTTGACCAAAATTGAAAGCATATATAGGTTTGATGTTGGCTAGAACGAGTTCCATGGCAGAGCTCAGACGCGTGAGCCCAGAACGATAATATGCGTCATATCGGAAGATTATTGATCCATCCCGAATTCTTGGATGTCCAAATCAGGTAATATTACTCCGTATCTCCCAACCAATCTGGAGCTTTGCAATCACTGATTCTTCAACAGAGAGTCACGAAGGTTCGCTTACACTTGAAGATGCCCAGAAAAGCTTTCCCAGTTGCGAAACTTCAATTCGACATCAGATAACTGCTAGATAGTGAAAAGCAACATAAAGACGTATGCAATTTGTGGGGAAGACCTTTACATCTTGGCCATTTCACGATATGCTGGTACCTGTTGATCAACCATAGGTCACAACCGAAAGGGCAACCATAGGTTGTTCTATCGGCTTGTAGGTATGCCAGCCTCACTACCTAATTACTATGTAGCTGTTCTCGGAGAAAAGTGAGCTCTGAGTTCAAGATTGCGTCACTGAAGCTGTCATACCACATCACTTCATTCGTCGAGAAATCCAGCCTCTAGCTATTTCTTGTTGCTTTGGAACCTTGACTGCTTTTTAGTCAGTAAGGTGTCTACCATTCACCCTGTCCTCGTGCCCGCCGAGATAGCATTAAGCAATTCGCTTTCTCTACTCTCTAGATTCAGACATTACTTAGCCGCCATGCTTTCAAGAAACCTGAGACTCAAGGAGTCATTACCTTGGGTTAGCTCGACGCTATTCTGCGTAAAACGTCGCTTCCTGGCACAAGTTGTCAATGTGCCGAACATACCTACTGTAAGCGGCGCCTTGTGCTGAAGTCATATCGAATCGTTCAAATGAGGCGAGTGCTAAAGCTCATCAAAGGAAGATGACAAGCCCTTTGACGTCCCGATATCAGAAGACAGCTTCGAGACGTATCATTTTGACCATCCCCCATACACAGTAGGAACCACAAAAAGGCAGCTCAAGGACCTGTACCGAGACATGCTTATGATAAGGTGAAATATGCCCTTAAGGACTATTGATGCTATGTAGCTGACCTATTCACAGACGAATGGAACTAGCCGCTGACAAGCTTTACAAGGAAAAGAAGATTCGTGGATTCTGTCATTTGTCAACTGGCCAAGAGGCAGTCGCTGTTGGCATTGAAAATGGCATCAGCAAAGAAGATAAATTAATAACGGCATACCGCTCTCATGGATTCACATTTACGCGAGGGGCGAGTATCAAGTCTATTATTGGCGAACTACTTGGACGACAGGATGGCATATCCCACGGCAAAGGAGGCTCTATGCACATGTTCTGCGAAAGCTTCTTTGGGGGTAATGGCATCGTGGGAGCTCATGTACCAGTCGGCGCTGGAATAGCATTTGCTCAACAGTACAATGACAGCGATAATGTCACGATTGATGTGTATGGTGACGGAGCAGCAAACCAAGGTCAAGTCCATGAGGCTTTTAACATGGCGAAATTGTGGAATCTGCCTGTTTTGTTTGGGTGCGAGAGTCAGTTCTTCTAGACCTCTGGTGCCTAAGACACCGTGCTCGATCGGTCTTTTGCTAACAGGTATCTAGATAATCAGTACGGCATGGGAACCTCCGCTGAAAGAGCGTCTGCAATGACTGACTACTATAAACGTGGTTTATACATTCCTGGATTAAGAGTGAACGGTATGGACGTCCTGGCAGTAATGGCAGCAGTAAAGCACGGCAAGGAGTTCATTCGGGCTGGAAATGGGCCCTTGGTCTATGAGTTTGTAACATATCGGTACGCCGGGCACTCAATGAGTGATCCTGGAGTCGCATACCGGACTCGCGAAGAGTTAAAGGCGGAGCGTGCGAAGGACCCAGTTTCGACCTTCCGGGGAAAGCTGATAGATTGGGGCGTCCTCACGGAGGACGAAGCAAAAACAATCGATAAGAACGTGAGAGAAAAGGTAAATCATGAGGTGGCAGAAGCTGAGAAGATGCCAGAACCTGAGCCGAGACTGGATGTTTTATTTCAAGATATTTACGTCCGGGGAAGTGAGCCTGGCCAGCGCCGAGGACGTACCGTGGACGAAACATACTATTAGGTTAGATGTGACCCAAGGATGCTGTTGCTGATATCGAAACCACTTAATCACCGCGTAAAGTCAAATCTGCTCTCAAGACGTAATGGATGCTTCTTCATCACACGTCACCATGATCTGAGTTGCGGTCCATTCTGACCTTATAAACTGCGGTCCGAATCCATCTCAATCACCAAACAACTTCACCCTCTTTCCAGAAAATCACAGTCCAGTAGCCATATCTCATAGTAATGGCGTTCAACTACCCAGCTCTCGCGACTCCGGCACGATGCACTGCCGACTTTTCTCTGATTCCGGTCGGTGTAGTCTAGGGCCCATTCTCGTCCGGCTCCTCAACTGATCCTCCACTATAGATTGGAACTCAGAACGCTTCTTTCTCTCAACAGATCGCGGATATCCAGCGGTTGTTGACGCAGGCCAGTCAGCAGACAGGTCTGAAGTACCAGTTGAATCCCACAGGAACCACAGTTGGTATGTATCAGTTTTGTATCGGCCTGTGAACTCGCAGTTAATGGCCTGGATTCCCAGAGGGGCCGTGGGATCAAGTCGTTCAGGTGATTGGTTTTGCCCACACGTTGATTCATCAGGAAGGCGTCCCCAGGATTCAGACGGATATTCGTATCACGACCAGGTATGTTTATTCGCATTTCGCAGTCGAATACACAGACTAGAATGGCTCATTGTTTTGTAGGACGGACAAGGTTCAGCCGATGGAGGGTAATCTTGTATCTGTGCAGAGAATCCTGTCAGCTTGATTCATGAAAACGCGTTGGGAGGTGGATCGATAGTTGACAAGCCTTGGTAGCGTACCACAATACTGAACTGAAATCTTCCTTCGAGAGGTAGTCATCTTAGCTGTTGGTGAAGTGACTCAAATGGCAGTTGATGAACGCGTTCGTCCATCACAGAACACGAATATGACCTCAGTAGCAGGCTCGCCAGGTGTTGACCGTAGATCTGGTGCCTAGGAGGTAATGAAGCTGAAGCTGAAACCGATAACACTTTGCCCGTTGGAGCCATCCAACATCTAGAGGGCAAGTTCAGGTATTAATAGGAAACATGCCGGAGGTTTGTTGAGGATGTAGGACTGAGGATCTTCTGGTATTCGTGTGGCACTAAGTTGGATCAGATAGAGACAGTCAATTAGTGATGAGAATGCTGAACAATGGAGCTGATTCGTTGGTTTTGCCCTTCTTTCAGGGACACAATACGTAAGGTAGGGGAAATACTGTTCGCAGTAGGTAAACTCCAAGCGTCCAGGTAGCAGATGGAATTCTGAATGGTCTACGCCGTACGGAGAATCAACAACCGCGCCCTGACGCTGTGACTACCTTCAGTGTTGATGAACATCCCTTGCCTTGTGGCCTACAGGGTCTTTGCAAGCTCAATCACTTCTATCTGTCTATTACTGGCAGCTGTCTGAGTATTTGCAATGTTCTGGGCTAGCTCCTTTCCTTCGCAAATAACTCTATTCATAGCCCCTAGATCTAATACTTTGGACAGATAGAGCCCAGCCAGTATCACTAACAACTGACTCTGTGTCCATACGACGTCCTTTTAGTGAAAGCACGTCTGACCTCTGGATTTGCCTCGATTACCGCATTTCACCCACAAGAAGAAAGCTTCCTTCATCTGAGATAATTGGTAAGACTTGCCCAGCAGTGTTATGAGTCGGGTCCACGGTGTGGGACTCGGCTTTTCCTGTTTTGGACTTCGAAAGTCTCCTCCAGTGCTCCATCATCGATGGAGAGGTCAAGCGAGACGGGGGAATTCTGGTTTTGAGAGTCTCTACGTGCCTGACATGGTATCCCTTCTAAGGCTTGTACAAGCCATGGCTGTGAGTTTGATATAGCACAGTGGAATTCAAGGCGAGAAGATGCTTCATGATTCAATTGCTCCTGTGATGCCTCGTCTAAAGAAGAATGGATGAACATGACGATAGAGATCCCCTCTGTGTGAGGACTTCCATAGTAAATAGTCAGATATCACTGGGCAGTTCCGAGCAGTTTACACGAAAGGTTTTGTTCTATCCTACTTCTACACATATCTGAACCCATGACAGTGTGCTCCGACCGACCCAGTGTAAGCCACTATCTATCTACTTTACACCACTTGAGCTTCCGAATTTCGTGAATATCAAAAGCCATTATTAGGCATCAACGAAATACCATTGTGTGCAGGTTATATTTCTAGCTCTTGCTACAGGGGATAATTGATGACCTTTTTTCAACAGTGGTCCTCGCTCTATGTCACGTAGAGGGTAAGTATCCTGCCCTCCTTTGGACCAGCGATCTCATAGCATTTTCACTCGGAGAAATGTTGTTAGCATGATCTTGGACAGAATAAGAATCGAGTCATTGATGTTATGACCAATGTAAAGTGAAAAAGCCGTTGAGGTGACCTGTCTCGTGTCTATCGAAGAATGTTAAGGCAGCAAGACCTTGAGCATGTCAACCTTAACCCATCAAGGACCGGAAAGGAGTCTACACTCATGTCCTGGTAAAGTTCAGCGGACCAAGAGGCTAGACGGGGGTGTCCTGGGAAATCTCAACCGCCGAAAGGTCGACTCGAGCTGTAAGTAGCTGGTGCTACCGTGCTAGCTATCTACATACTTGGACCATTTCTCACAGGCAAATTAAGTGCTGCCACCTAAGTAAGCAGCAAGGCGCCTCGTCCAGCACAGGAGAGATCTATTGATCGTTCAATTCCCACTTCCCTCTTTTCCGGCCACCATCCTTATCCCAGTATGGTAGCCTTGCAATTTGCAGCGGTCTCCCCGAGTAACCCCTCATCGTTGACTACCTAGGCTAGGATCATAGGCTCATAGCCACCTGGCCAGTGGTCAGTGGATCACATCAATAAGCCTGTCTTCTGATCAGCGGGCAGGTTTGTCGTCTCGGGAACGGCAATGAGAATACCACCAGCAACCGAAAAAAGACAAAAATATATGATTTCATGCCTTGCTAATTAAGAAACACCATTGAGCTGACCCATCCCGAGGCACATCCTTCGAAACTTGAAGACCAGCACCATCCCTGAACCAGGATATGACTACGGAGTACTAATGCTTGAGTTCTATGATTCCATCACATGAAAAGGCCCTACCTATGGACGTACTTTCGCAGTCTACCATACACGAGCGTGCATGAATTTTTGTGGGTCTTACAAAAGGGAGCCATTGAGCCAGGCCGTATCATCGATGCAAGCCAATGAAAGGAAACTATGATGCAGCTGGGTTTTTCGCTGTCTTCTCAAAGAAATGAACGAGATACTTTCTTGCTACTTTACTACAGCATGTTTTGTGTCAGGCTGGCAGCATATACCATAATGCCACCCTAAGTAAGACTACGAGGCCAGGCCACTGTTAAAAATACGATTGCTATCAAAAGCCTCAAACTCTCAAGGCCAATCCCAGTACGACCGGGTATTAAATCCCATGTCAGTACTAGTCAGGACTCGGCGAACAAAAAAGCTCTAGGGCAACTCAAACCGCTCATCAACCTGCTCATTGTGGCGTAAATTTATCATTATCCAATCTACTCCTACAAGGGGATTCATAGTGTGAGCATCACCACTGGCATACCACTCAAGCGAAGCAGCTTTCCTTGACTTTTCTAAGTAACTCTAATGTTTTGCAGATGCCGTTACTGTACTGTGCTCTCCTGATGTAATTTCAGGCAATCGGGGACCGTGGGACTTTCATTATTAATATTCCCTCCTAGGCTACTACTCCTCCCCGTTGGGTCGATCTAGAATTTTGGACAGAGTACGAAGTACAGACAGATGGGCACTTTCCTGCGGGGGGATGCGAAGACCAGAAGTACTTACTTTTCAGTCCCGATTCCTGAGTACTGAACCAACCTGAATAATTTCAATGCAAAGGTTCGCGAGCATAGTGATAAAATTGAATGCCTTTTCCCTTCGACATAGGATTTTAGATAATGAAAAGGAAATGCGGATTCTTCGGAAAAAGGCTTTCTTCTCTTCTGCATCTCCTGCTCATAATGCTAGGGACAGAAGCCAGAAATCAAAATAACGGAGTACTCCGTACGGACAAGGAGTATGAAGAATGAAGAATGAATAATACTAGATAGCTTGACTGGCATACTCTGTAATTGACAAATAACAATAGACAAGGTATTACAAGGTATTCGGTTCCACAAAAATGGCCTTCGCTACCGCCAAAAACTTCTAGTCCCAGAGTTTTGTTCCATTGGCTAAGAATTTGGAATTATGTCGTTTGCTAAGTGAGGCAAGTAGAGCAGCCTGTCCGCGCCTCGAATCGAAGTGGGAGGGTGGGACGGGCGATGTTGAGATAACTCATTTCCCGCCGACGCTGGTCGGTTGGAGTGGGTCAACGGATCCGACAGACTGGATAGTTCAGCGGTAAACTCCGTTCACAAAACAGTAAAACACTCGGTGTCAGGTGTCCTGCGGTGTCCTGCAACCAATCGAAACGATATGGTAAAAAGTACTCTGCACTGTGCTTGAGAAGGTAATCAGACCAAATGCTGCTGCAGATGCTTCCAGGGATAAACCTGCTAGGAAGGCGGACACAGCGTGGATTACACAAACAAGACACCATGCAGAAGAAGGGATGCATTGGAGTTCAGCCCACTCGGATAATAGGAGAGTGATCCATGGATGGGAAATTCCAGCACAACGGCACCAGCAGCCATTGGACCCAGTCTTAATTGAAGATCATTTGTGCTACAAATTGCCGCTAACTTATGGTCTTACCTAGCTTTGCTATTATTATTCTTAGTTACTACTCCGTACAGCAGGAATATCGCCGGGGGCAGAGGTTGGATTAATTAGTGGTATTTCATCTTTGCTACTTACTGCACTTATTAATTAATGATAATAGATAGTAGTTTAAGTCCCTTCCTCAAGACGCAAAGAATTCTTGAGTGTCCAGTGCTTATGTGGAAATGACAGTTATAATGAGCGACATCCCCACCAACTGTTGGATCTAATTCGGCCCCTTTTCTCACGCTGGGTGGGATTTGTATGGGATGTTATCATGTTCTACAGAGTAGAGATCGGACATCTTGAATCCGATTAACAACAAGAATGTGGTTGATAGGACATTCTTGGCAGCTCTCGAGAAATTCTCGTCATGCATGAAATGATGTGTTCTTTACAGCCAGAAAATAGATCTGATACCGAGTACTACTACTGATACTTAGTCCAATATTTTCCTTCAATAGTAATATCGATTGATTGCTGTGATCTGATAATGATCTTAGTCTACCTACGGAGTACAATGTAATGTATGATCCTCTTTCTTCTTGTTTGGTTATCCTATCGATTGTCTTCCCGAATCCCAAACTCCTGGGACGTCCGTGCTTTTTGGCATGACATAGCCTCGGTTTTCCAATTTCCAGAGCGAAGGAACCAGGACTATGGTTCTCTGACTACTATCGGTAGTAGTACCCATTTCGGAAGGCTGCTGATTCTGTATAGATGGGAGTTTTTGTACAGGCTCATATTATTCTGATTCCACTCTTTGCAGCCTGACCCCTCTCAATATTGGAGGTCAAGAAAGCACTAGGGATGAACACCTAAAGACCGAATCGTTCGACAATCGATAATGATATAGATTATTTTCCACAAAGTTTACGGTCGAAATACTTCATAAATCATGCACTTTCTCCGAAATACTAACCACAGATGGAATCGCCTGCAGAGCGGAGGCTGTATAATAATAGTCTATACCTAAGAACAAATCCCGAGGAAGAGTGTTCTCTTATCCCCGGGGCATTTGAGAGCGTGATGAGATTCCTGGGAGCTGCTTGCTGTACGGAGTAGAGATACATTTAATTCTCCGCAGCCCCAACTGCCCCGAGCAGATGGTTTTGGTAGTCGGTAATCATGTTACAACCCGTAATAGTCTAGACCAGAGATGTACTCTCTCTATGTTGCAGCCAAATTATCGGATCTACGGGATGTCCAGTGGCGAGAAAATCGATTCTTAATGTCATTTCTACTGCAAATTACGTCCATGGAATCTCACACACACAAAGGCTCGAAGCCGAAGCCAATAGTTGCGAAAGCAGCCTTTGTCCATAATCTAGTAGCCAGTCCAACCCCCTCAATCCCTATCCTTTTTCCCGTACTAAATTACAAACCTAACCCAGCCTGTCGGGTTCAGGCCTTCAGGGAATCAGGGACAAGGGAAAATGAGGTAGCATTTAGGACCAACTATTTCCATCTGGTGCTAATCTGCAGCTGGCATCGCCTGTTTCTCTATCCATTCGATTACTACTTATTTTCTGGATTTCTTCCTTTTTTCTAGTTCCCACCTCTTCCTCCCTCTAGTTTGTTCCCACTGCCTGAACTCTGAACTGGTCCGCTAGCACGACAGCACACTTGAAGGCTCCTTAGCTAGCTAGACCTTGAAATATATTGTTGCTCCTCAGAACCGAGAAAAAAAGAGCGTATTCAGTCTCAAGTGACACATTTGCTCCTCTTTTGGTTGTTGGATATCACCCCACTAGAACCTATCTGCTCGTCGTCACCACCAATTCGACGATAACTGCGGCTTCCTCGTGTTGAGGGTGGCATCGTCATAGAGAAAGAACATAAAACAGCCGAGGAAAAGAGGAAAGAAACTGAAAAGGAAATCAAGAAGGCTACCAAATTGTCGGCTTCACAATTTGCAACTTTACATACTTTTTCTTGACCCCCTCTCCCCCCACACGAGAAACCGGTCCCGAGAGTCCCATAATAATGCCTAGACCCATTAGAACAGTGGGCGCGAATTCCATTGTAAGCATTTTCCTTTTGTGCTCTCGTGGCATCTGTTATTACGACCCATGTCTTGGCCGTCGCTTGCCCTTCTACTTCGGCTGTCCTCTGCAGCGTGTTCTCTTTCAGCAGAACCAATATATTCCATACATGGGATGCTAACGAACAATGTCCCAGGAGCCGAACCGTCATTAGTAAGTACCTTGCTTGTTTCTTACCGTCTTTGAGGAAACTGCAGCTGTCATCGATCGAGATGGGAAGGAGTATAGAAAGAAAAGACGGTCAAATCGCTTGTGGTACGCTGATACTAAATTCTGCTGTAGTGACACGCAGTCGTTGACTGCGAGTGTAACTGACTATCCCACCGAGAACGGAAGACGATACCACAAATACCATGAGGGATGTATGTTTTCAGCCCCAGCCTCTTCTCACTGCTTTGTCTGCTTTGTCTGATGTATAAATCCAGCATACGTTTACCCGAACGATGAGCAGGAATTGGATCGATTAGACATGCAGCACCATATGATCAAATTGGTCAACGATGGACGACTGTTCTTCGCCCCCATACATAGCCCTAAACGAATCCTCGATATCGGTACTGGATCTGGCATATGGCCCATAGAAATGGGTGCGTCTTCCTCCTGTCTCCCCGTCGCTTACTCCAGGCAATCTCTTACTGTTCCCTTGCTCCTGTAGCATCTATCTTCCCCGAAGCCGAAATCACAGGCACTGATCTGTCGCCTGTTCAACCGACTGAGGTTCCCGATAACGTTCACTTTCTCGTCGACGATGCCACCGAAGAAGACTGGTTATGGGACGCAGACCACTTCGACTTGATTCACACAGCCCACATGATTGGTTCATTCCCATCCTTCAAAGATGTCTTGCGCAAGGGATTCAAGCATCTCAAACCTGGCGGTTATATGGAGTGCCACGAATTCGACCCTAAGCTGAAATGTGACGATGGTACCATGCCTCCCGAGAATCCCGATGGCTTCTGTGAATATGCTTTGCATGATTGGGTCGATCTCAATGTGCGCTCAAGCCAAGTTGCAGATCCCCCAAGACAATTTCGCATCGCTCATCGTATTGCTCGCTGGATGAAAGAAGTCGGCTTCGTGGACGTTCAGGAACGCATCTCCAAGGTTCCGACCAACCCATGGTCTGATGATCCGCACCTGCGTACCATAGGCACTTGGAATGAGACGAATTGGCTAGAGGCTCTGTCCGGATGGTCCTACAAACCTCTTCTTGCACTGGGGTGGTCGAAGCCGGAGATTGAAGTTTTTCTGGTTAATGTGCGAAGAAGCATTCAGAATCGTGATGTCCATAGCTACATGGACTTCTATGTCGTAACAGGTAGGAAGCCTCGCCCTGGGGAACAAGCCTCCTGAAAGTCTTGTCATCGCTTCACTGTCTCTTTTTGTTCTCCCCGCTGCTATCTTTTCGGGCGTCTCCACGAAGAAGCACTTTTTGGCTGCATTGCATAAGATACCACCGGCTTCACAAAATTCCATGCATTACCGGAAGGCGTGCAGGGGTTCGGCTTCTTGATTTCATATTTTGGTTATATAGTCCCTACAATGTCTGGAATGAAATTGGATTGAACAATTTTTTAGTCTGCCTCGAGTGAGGAAGTGTAGAATCATCGTCAATCCCATCTATTTTACTTCGCACGGGACCTTCGGCAATATGGTTTGAATCCAGTCACTTGCTTAACAGGGTTGAAATGGCCATCCACCGTCATCTTCTAGTGACAGCTCATATCAATAGACTGCCTTTGACTTGTACTGCCTGAAGCGACTGTGGTTGGGGCCGCCGCTTAGTCATCTGCTCGAAACCCGAACTCCAAACTCTCCACAAGCTTCATTTCGATGCTAACGTCTCTATTAGGTGGACACAGCTCAATTGCACTCGAATGCCCCCGTTGCCTCATGTCTCTCGGCAGACATGCCTATCGGCATGCAATACAGCCATCTTCCACACATCTCATTGACTACGTGTGGATTAGCGAAGAACTGCTCGCATCAACCTTCCGACGATTCGCAACCAGTCAACGACGCTACGAAAGTCGAGTGCCAGGGCCTTTGGAAGCAAGAAGACGTCTGGCCAAGCGACGAAATACTGCATTGGCCGGTATAGCCGGTTCGGGACCTCTAGAAGACATTGCATGTTTGTTTGGACGAAATGGGCGGGAGCACATGAAATGGACGGACCGGCAGGAACGAGATGTTCACCCGGAGGCCCATGGTAAGATTCTACAACTAATCAATCCCTGGACAGGCGAATTGTGTTTCTAATTGTACAGAAGGTTCGCCTCTCTATCCATTGAGCCCTCCAGAGCCTCCTTTGCCGTTCTACAGCGAAAACATTGACCCGAGCGAGTTCAACACATTGAGTGGTCTACCGGGGTTCCCGGATGCGGCACACAGGGTTTCTCGTGGTCAAGCTTTAGAAGAATTTCTGAAATCGCGACCATCAGTCACAGCTATCGGGATCTTCATGCGCCAACTCAATTTCGATCTCCAGCGGGAGCCTGCCTACAGCCGCCTGATACTTAAACACCTGCTGCCGCGATCAGTCTACAACGAAGTCGCCATGAAGAAGGTTGTCGAGTTCCTCGATGATCCGTATCTGAATACAAGAGGCGCTGGAAATTATCTGTGCGCTCTCAAGCATATTCTATCAACAGCAGCGATTTTCGGGAAACAGCGGGTGTTCGACGCTGTTATTCGATCCTTGGAGCTAGGACTCTTACATCCCAATGAGCTTCAAGATATCATAAAGACTATATCAAATGTCAAACTCAAACGATCTCATGAGTTCACAGCGCGGAACTCCAGGTTCCTGATTAGGTTTCATCGGGAGATGTGGGACGCCATCGGACGTTGTGATATCTATCGACACAAGGATCTTGGCAAAGATCTAGTTGATACATGGCTAAGCATTCTTTGCGAAAGAAAAACCTATGACGATGTCATACTGGCGAAGGACATGATCCTGGCGACCCAAGATCCTACTTCATCTGACTCTCAATGGGTGCCGATGTTGATTGCACGCTGGTTAAAAATTTCGGCGGAATCACGGCATAGCACCAACCGGCATTATCTCAAGGAGCTCTTGGGTTATTTCCATCCAACTGCCACATCCAAATTTATCATCCGCACAACAGAGTATCTGGTGTCTACGAAGACGGACTGCTTGCTTGAGTGGCAGCGCCGCTTGTCCGAGCTTGACAAGCTAACAAGTGTTGTCTCTTCACAGACATGGGTTGATGTGCGCGCGCAGCATACTACCGAGTCATTGGGATCTACGCAAGAGACGAAATCGACACTATCATTCAGACACCAAATTATCTTGCGCATTTGGACGCTGCGGAGTCTTAGCAAATATCTCCCTCAGGGTCCGCTTTGGAGAAGAGATCCGAGGGTGACTGACTCGCATATAACTCATCTCTTCACAATTTACGAATCTACTCTCTACAAGGGCGGCTACGAGGACCTCTTAAGCAGCTTGATGAAGGAAATTCACGCACTTGGCATACCATCTAACGGCCTGCTGATGTCGGTCGTGGAATTGAAGGCAGCAAAGCGCATGACGCGAACTCAAAGACGGACGTTGGAGAAACTCGAGACCACAAAAGTGTCTTTCGCGGAGATGTTCTCAGATATTCATGCTTACAACGCAACAAACACTCATTTTTTTTCCACCTATGAGAAGATGGCACGGCAGATCGATATCACCGACCCTTCTTTCGTGAAACATGCGATTGAGACCGCCAGGGACGGGAACATACAAAGAATCTGGACGCTGATCCGTTTGTTCCGTTGTCACACCCCCCTCAAGATCGCGATATCGAGCTTTTGGCCGCCTGTCCCCGACCCCTCGGAGAAAGCTCTTGTGCGCTACAACCCAGAGCCAAGAACCGCGCTCTGTCCAGACCCTCATTTGGCCGTAGAGATGATCCACCTCTTTGCTGTTTCTCTCGCATGTTCAAGGAACATCAGCCCGCGCCGTGCCTTCACGCTTGTCCACTGGCTCTACGATTTTCTGATGTCCCACAACGCGCACGTGAAACCGTCACTTGTACGCGCTATGTATCATGCTGGTGTGCTGCGTTTCCGAAGAGCAGGGTTGAACGTTGCGCCGACTCAGTATGCCTACATCCTTGACCGCGTGAAAGAAATCGAGACGCCGGAGATGGTGCAAGCCCTTATGGAGCCGCCGCGCGTGGGAGAAAGCAGGAAGCGATCAGACTCGGTCTGAGGACAGACGACTTGATGTACAGTCATTTCGAGTGATTCGTCCGTCCTGGAAAACAGGCAATAGCCTATTCTTTGTATATAGTTACTGTTATCCAAGCATTATAGAGACGCTACGTCAAACTGCAGAGGCATGATCACGTTGCATGACTACCATGGACGTTCAAAGCAATTTTCGAAGAATTATTATTCTCCCGTGTTTGACTACGCGGTGCGGACTTTTACTATTTCTCATGAGGATACTGCTGAGCTTAGTCTTCCTTAGTCGGAGAATATTGAGAGATGCAATTGAGCCATCAATTACATTCTCTATGCGTAACAAAAAAACAGCAGAAAATAAAGATAGATCATGTTTAAGCTCTTGCTACCGTCGGCTTAATCACGAATCTACCTCCATGAGATTTGGATCCCCAGAGACATCCTCCACAGTCACATATTTTCTCATGTCCTCTTTGCTGATGATCTTCTCGTTCAGGTAGGCCGTTGTGCCCTTAGGGAAGCGGTAGTTGCGCTCTTTCTCACCACGCTCGTTGGGCTTGATGTAGTTGCGCAGTAGCTGCGTGGGCTTATCGTTCTGGATGACGCACACGTCAACGTTGCTACCGGAGCCCAAGTCGTTGAAGATACCGGCTTTGATAGCTTCCGAAGCCAGAGCGATAGCCTCTTCGCGGTTCAGCTGCGGTTTCCACATCGACTCGAAAACAGACATGGCGGCCAGCGAGCCAGAGCCCATGGTAACGTAGGGGAGCTTGTCGGTTGAACCGTGGGCGTGGACGGTGAAAAGACCGACGCCTGTCGGATCAACGCCTGCGACGACCAGATAGGCGCCGATGTGTCCCTGGTATCGGAAGAGGTGCTGCTTCAACATGGTCATGCAGGTGATTACTCGTGGGGGCCGGCCCGTCGACAGAGCGTGCAGTTCGACATTGGAGCTAATCAGGGCGGTGGTGAATTCGGTGTCTGCAGCTGTACCGGCTCCAGCACACCAGATCTTGGGGGCGATGTAGTGTAGTTTCTCGCAGTTCTATTTAAGATCGGAATGATTAGCTCTGACACGTCTTCTAGAAGCTTATATAGATGTGGCTTACCTTGTCTGCGACTATAGGACCACTCGTAGCTCTGGTATCTGCAGCAATCTGTCGTGAGGGTAAGATTGAGTGAGCTTCCGCACAGTCCATCATCACTGGGGATTATTCGGCGGATTCGATCATAACCTACCACAACGCCATTATCGAAGATACAACCTACGATTGTTGTACCAGTACTTGTTGCTTTCGGGAGAGGCACACCTTTGGCGTGCAGAGCCGCGTTGCGATTGTAGTTGGAGAAGTCGAAGCCTGCCATATTGACGGGCGCGGAGAGGGATAGGCAAGATAGGAGAACGAGCGACGCAAGGTTGTGTCAGGACAAGTAGTCTTCAAGATCAAGTAGTCGTTGCGGAACTGGTAAATAATTCAATGGAAGCAATGGCGGAAGAAGAGGTACAAGAAGGGAAGCTTGAGTAGTCGGTGATGGGCAGCGGAGGAGCTGGAACTGCTGCAGTGACGAAGCTCCCGCCGCCTAATCACTTGTGCCTGAGGCAACAAGGCCTGCACGCGCCCAGAGCTTCCGCTGTTTTTGTTCTGCCGGAAATTACGATCATTATGCTTGAGAGATCATTGATTGATTGCCTCACTACTACAGCTTATTAGACAACGTAAAAGGTTGTTCTATTGTTGAAACCCAAATAACTGTTCTCCGGCTAACTCACTCTGGCCGATTCGCTGATCTTTCACTCTTGAGACTCTCCCTTCCTTTGAGGGAGGATAACAAAGATTTTTGCGCGCTCTTGGAAGCTCCTCAACCGGAGTCCCCAAGCACTCCAGCGTCGCTCTTTTCCAACTCCGCCGCATAGCCCGCCTTCTCCCCATGCACCAAAGTTTAGACCAGCTTTAGGCGACCGTCCTCGATCGATTTCGTCTGACCTCGATAGCCTCAGAATGGCTTTCAATTTCGGGGCTTCCAACTCCGCTGCTGGAAGTCCTGCCGCCGAGCTGGGACCCGAGCTCCCGGATGTTATTGCTGATGTACGTCACCTTTCATCGTCGTTATGAATAGTCTTGTTGTTGTCGGTTGCTGATACAGGAATCAGGAGGTCGGCTTCAAAGGTGTTTGCGGTGATAGCAACGTCCGATTCCTTCCCACCCCCTGGCCTGAAGATGCCCTTCCAGCTCCAACAAGCTCCCTTCTTGCTGTCGCGCCGACTAAAGGACTAGTGGCTGGTGCCGCTCCCAACTCGCTCGTTATCGCGTCGACTGAAGCAGTGCGAAAGGCCATCTGCGCAACGACCGGCGAAAGCAAAGTCAAGACTAAGCCCTTCGAACCACAAGCGAATCTACCCCTTCCTGCGCGACCTACACATGTGGCTTTCGCTTCGGGCGACAGTGCCTTAATCTTAGCGACTGAAAATGGTGCGGAACTTGCTGTCTACCAGACAGCGACGCTGCTGACGGGCAATCCGCAGCCTGCCTTGGCCATCCCGATGAACGGCACGACCCTTCGCGCTATGGCACCCAATCCTACACCGTCGGAAGATATCCTTTCGTCTCTGGTTGCACTAGTCACAGCGAATGGCGAGCTCTTGATTGCAGATCTGAAAGGAGGAAATTTAATCCGGGGACCTAGCGGTCAGGTACTCAGGACCGGAGTAAGCTCCGTATGCTGGAGTAACAAAGGGAAACAGCTTGTGGCTGGTCTTGCAGATGGAACAGCAGTTCAGATGACTCCTGACGGGACCCAAAAGGACGTAATACCCCGCCCTTCTGACCTGGAAGGCGATTGTCATGGTACGTTGGGGCAATGTTAGATATTGTGTGTTCCGTTACTAACCTCGAATAGTGTCGTCCATTGCATGGATTGAAACTGACATATTCTTGATGGTATATACACCAAATGCGACTGAAGATGATATGGGCCAGACGCCTCCGTCTTCGTACTATATCATCACCAGAAGGAAAGGCGCACCTTTCCTGGTTCAGAAGATGCCGGAACTGTGCATGCCATTTGGTGTCAAACGCGCCCCAGCCTACCAGTTTATCGCGCGTCTGAGGGACTACAAGCCGCACTTGAAAAACGTCCTAATCGTATCCTCTACAGCATCTACAGATATAGGACTCATCACACGGTCCGATCAACCACTGGCCAGTGATGACGCTGCCAAAGGCACCGTGGGTCTCTTTACAACAACAGAGGTCAATGACGACACAAAGAGAGCATCCCTTCCTTTAACTGAGGCCAATAGTGATACTTCAGTAATCGGATTAGGGGTTGACCTCTCTAGCACCGAGCCCGTGGTTTCCCCGATCCAAGGCGAAGACATCGCGGAAAGTTTCACGCCCCTGCCCAATGTCTTCCTTCTGAACAACGAAGGCATACTGTGCTCTTGGTGGTTTATATATTCAGAGTCTATTCGCCAGAAACTGCCCTACCATGGTCTGGTCTCGGTAAGCCCACAACAACCGCAACCGCAACCGCAAGCACCAGAACCAGCGCAGCCTACCGGTCAGTCCCCGTTCGGACAGCCTGCATTTGGACAGTCGGCCTTTGGTAGCCCTTCGGCAATGGGGTCATCGACGTTTGGCAAGCCTTCTGCTGCCCCAGCGTTTGGCAGCCCCTCAACTCTAGGTAGCCGACAACCTGCCTTTGGAACGCCATCGGCTCTCGGTGGGCCATCTTTCGGATCGCCATCCCAGATGAAACCTTCATTCGGCGCGCCTAGTACTCTCGGGCGCGCAGCGCCCCAATTTGGCCAGTCGGGCTTTGGAGCCAGTGCTGCGCCAAGCTTTGGGCAGCCGTCCACACCAGGTAAACCACTCTCTTTCGGTACGCCCAGCGCTGCCTCGGGAGGAGGATTTGGCTCGTTTGCGAATGCAGGAGGGTTCTCCAGCTTCGCAGCATCCAAACCGGCAACAGAATCTCCCTTTGCGAAACCTGCCGGCGAATCTCCTTTTGGAAAACCTGCCGGCGAATCGCCTTTTGGCAAGGTCTCAACCGAGAGTCCTTTCACGAAGCCTTCAGGCCCATCTATTTTCGGCACCCCGGCTCAGGCCGACACAGCATTCACACCTCAGAAGGCGGACGAATCTAAGGGTGGCTTTGGTGTTGGCTCAAGCGGCTTCGTACTTGGTTCTACTTTTAAGGGTGATGGCACGGCTGTCAATGATGGTCCATTGCCTGACAAGTCTTCTGGTTTTCTCTCCTTTGGCACATCCCTGGATGATATGGTCTCCACACCTGATAAGACCAGTCCGCCAACAGAATCGATGGACGATACAGAAGATCAGCCTGCGGTCACCCAACCCGAGAAACCAGCAGCAAAGGAGCCTCCAGCATCATTGTTTGGCGCGCCTTCTAAAATCGATACCTCTAGAACGACATCATTGTTCGGTGCTCAGACGCAACCTCAGCCAGCGGCACAAACAAACAAGTCTCCCTTCTCCTTGTTCGGAAACGTCGCTGCGGAGAAACAGGTAACCAGTCCCCTGTCCCCGCCGTCTGAAAAGACAATCGTCGCTAGCTCAACGCCCAAGGCGGAGAATATCTCCATTGCCGAACCGCCTCTCCCCCCTGACCCAACAAGCAGGGCCGCGTATGGCCCAGGCGATACCTCTGCATCTTCCAACGTCTCTAAGAGCTCGGTCGAAGATGTGCACTTTCCATCAGGTGCTGCGAGGCAGCCAGAACCTACTTTGGAAGATGTCGCACCTGAAGCACCGCTCCCACCTGATTTCGCAAGCGGGATCAAGGACAAAGCCGGAAAACCTGCGGCAGACGAGGCTCCATTGCCTTCAGAACCAGCAGTTCCTGAGTCACCTGCTGCATCTGACGAGGAGGCTAGTCCGTTGCCTGAAGAATCGGACGTCGATGAGTCCGAAAAAGAACCGAGTGAGGAGGCCGATGAATCTGACTTCGCTGATAGCGGAGAGGAAATCACACATGAAATTGATGAAGAAGAGGAAGAGCCTGAAACCACGGGCCAGACACCGAAGATTTCACCAGAGAGTTCTTTCGGAACTGGCGTCTCCGAACAAAGCCCCGCCGGAGGATTGTTCTCTCGCATTTCCAGGCCCGGTCAGCAACAACCGCAGCGACAGTTGTTCGGGGAGATTGCTAAACCCATGTTTCCACCGAAGACTCATGTAGATCGCGAACCCCCAAGATCGCCCAGTCCAGTGCGAGGCGGTATTCCGAAAACTCTGCTGAAGCCACAGATTCACAAATCGGCCAGTGCTCCTCAAATTCCGGGTAGCACTCTTGCTGCCCGCAAGGCTACTTTGACCGAAGCAGCTCTGCGTGATCAACGATTGCGACAGGAGTCTGATCGCACTGCCCGTGAAGACCAGGCCCGCTTGAAAATTCAAGCCCAAAGAAAGGAGGAAGAAATATTATCCCTTTCTGACGATGACGAGGATGAGAGACTTCGCGCGGATCTTGCCCAACCACTGGAGCCTGTCCCAACACTTGACCCCTTCCTGCCACACCAGGACTATATGGGTCAAACCACAAAGCCAGGAATTCCCGGTCAAATCGAGAGGTTATACCGTGATATCAACTCGATGATTGATACGCTAGGCATAAATTCTCGGGCTCTGTCGTCCTTCCTTCTCTATCAACAATCGCCCAGAGACTCCGAGAGATGGATACAAACCTTGAAGACTGATCATCCAGCTGATATTTTAGACGAGAAGGTGCTTCTCTGCGAAATTGAAAAGCTCGACGATGCTGTGCTTATGCTTGCCGATTCCCTCCAGGAGCAGCGGGCGCAGAAAGTGGAGGAGAAACTTGAGGCCTGCCGAGAATTACTGAGTAAAGACATTCTCAATCTCAGAGGCCAGTGTGCAAGCATTCGAAAGACCCTTGACGCTCATACTGACACGGCAGCGATTCTTTCTGCACCTCTTTCCGCGGAGCAAGCGAACCTCCAGCAAGACCTCCGGTCTGCGTTCACAAACCTACAAGCCAGTCTGGCGGACTTGGAGTCTGCAGTATCATTATTACGGGCTAAGATCGCAGAAGCCCCCCGGCCAGACAGTAGCCGCCAGCCAACGAAGCGCCCTACTGTGGAAGCTGTGACATCTACTATCGCAACTATGATGAACATGGCCGAGAGCAAGAGCAGCGATATTGATGTTCTGGAGATCCAATTGAAAAAGCTCGGGATCGACACTTCAGGTCCTCCGGCCAGCCGAGAAGGATCCCCATTTGCCACACCGAAAAAGGCGTTGGCGAGATTTCCTACGACACCTGGTTCTCGTGGGTCTATTGACGGGCCACTCAGTGCGTATCACACTCCAGAGTCCGTGGGCAGATTTCGATCGAGCATCAACGGGTCAGCCAAGGCCAGCCGGCTTCGGAATATCGAAGCCGTTGGCGAACTGGCCTCCAAGGAGGAAACGGCACAATGGAAGAGCAAGCTGTTGCGTAGGCAACATATCATTGGTAATTTGAAGAAGGTGATCGAAGCAAAGAAGTCCAAGGTCCGGGGCGCGGATGATTTGTAGGACTGAGTATCTTGGTCTATCTTCTATGTTGTTGAGCTGCAAAACGGGGTGTCATGGCATGGCGTGGTTTGAGCAATGCCAACAATCATTGTCTGTACATAGATTCAATTATGGTTTGGTTCAGTTGTTGGTATCTTCGATACAAACCTAATGATTGAAATTTCTCTTGCAATAACATGCATTGCTCATGATAACTCTTGGATACTGCTTGTGTTTTTAGTGGTAGTTCCACACTGTACCTAAAGTTGGGTCTTATGAATAAGTGAAACTGACATCATCCCCACCAGTGACATCAACTGCACTTTAAAGACTACTTCATTTACTACTCCGCATCTGATGCGACGAGCTTCTCTTCTCGTTTCTTATAACAATAATTAGCCAGCCCAAGAATAGACTAGACCAACTTCCTTGAAATATCTACAGACTTTACTCACACCCACCGATATCCAACCTATACTTCCAATACCGCAGTCCAAAGCCAAACCCACCAAGAGAACAAAATGGTCCTCCCAGTCACCGAGTTCGTGGTCTTCAAATTGAAACCGTCCGTAAAACCAGAAGACCCCTCAAACGAGGAAGGCGCATCCCTATGTAAGATATTCTCCGCGACAAAACAACAAAGCGGCCACCAGAGCTCCGCATGGGGGAGAGCAGTCGAGGACGAGAATGTCGTGGTGTGGGTAGTCGGTGAGTTCTAGCAAAAACCAAAGAGCTTCTCACTTGACACTAGCTTGTATCTATCAGGAGATGTCTAATGGTTTGTGTGAAAATAGTCTGGGAAGACTCCCACGCCAAATGCCAGGCAGATCTCCTCGCCCCATACCTCGAACCAAACTCCGATTTCATCACGTTCTACGCAACACTTAACCCACCCATCTCCGAAACGGAGACTTTAACCACGAACCCGGTCACGGAGCTGGCGACGTTGTCTTTTCCCAGTTCGCTGAATCCCGAGGAGCACAAGAAGCTCAATGCGGATCTGATCAACTTCCGCGCGGTGCTGACAGAGAAGCTGTCCGAGAAATCGCGGCCGAAGTCCTGGACCATGGCGCAGATTCAACGGCCAGGGACATTCCAGCATTCGAAGAGTCCATCCGGGGAGGCGTTCGTGTATCTTCTTGCGGTGGGATGGGAGAGCGTGGATGCCCACATGGCGGCTAGGGAGACCAAGGAGTTTGCGGAGTCCATCGAGCCGATCCGAGAGAAGATGCTTTCTGCTGTGCAGGGACTGGAGATGAAACATGTCAGCTTCAAGAAGATCTGATTCTTCGTGAAGCAAAATGTTGCGTTAGATTGTAGGAGTGGGTGAGCACAAGGAGCAAAAAATAGGAGAACACGTGGATTGCTATGAATACTGGAGTGATACGCAGAGGGAAAGACAGCGCCTTAAAGTAAAGTACAACGCAGAATATACCCGAAAGAAACATCAAAGCCTCCAAGGAACATAGTAGACTTTTTGCATGTGACACAGACGGTCGGCTTGCTCCAGGACACAGGGAATTGAAATTTGGTCTTCTCAAATGCGGTGTTTTTCGCTTTCTGTGTAGCACGGTTAAATTAGCACTGATGTTGACTCAAGGTTCACAAAGGGGAGTACTAACCAAGTCGCGAGTAAAGCATGTAGAGAGCCATTTGGTTGCATTCCTGGGTTCCGGTAATGGTCACCAGGCGCTCATTGCTGTTCTCTTGGGGCTCATTGATCTTGATCACACTGCCACTGAGGTGTCGGATCTCATTGATCTTGGCACCGCCCTTTCCGATGATGGCACCGACCATGTCATTGGGAATGTAAATCTGCTGAGTCAATGGCTGACCAGGCATAACCCCTCCAACAGGTGTAGCAGGGGTAGGGGCGCCGCGTGCCTGAGCGGGCTGCGGTGCGCCGTATGGAGCAGGCTGATGGGGGCCAGCTCCTGCATAAGGGGCATGGGGAGCAGCACCATAGTGCAAAGCCGGCTGGGCCACAGGTGCGGGCGCAGGCTGACCGTGAAGGTAAGGGACGCCATAAGCGCCTGCAGCAGCGCGATTGGGGTGGGGATGGTGTCTCTTGAAATGTTCTGGATGGCCGTATTGACCACCAGCGGGCTGTGGAACATACGGGACAACCTGCATTCCGCCAGGCACTGCGCCAGCAGGGCCACCGCTGCGAGTGGCATAAGCCGAGGCTGCAGGACCTCCAAAGCGCTCAGTGAGCTGCTCAACGAGGGTTACGGCGACGTAGTAGGTAGCGATATGGACAGAATCGGCAACGCCGAGAATTACAAGTGACCGCTCAGAGGACAAGGGAAGGCAAGAATCGGATGCATTCAGCCGGGCACCAGAGGCCTCCTGAATCTCGCGAATGCGGGAACCACCCTTGCCAATGATCGAGCCAATAAGGAGATGGGGGATCAGCAAACGCAGAGGGTATGTCTTGGATTGGGCGGTAGAGGGGGCATCAAGAGGTTCATTGTTCAGTGTACGAATGATCAAACCAAACGCCTACTTGAGATTAGCAACCTTTCACACAGCGAATAGTAGATCAAAAAACCAACCTTGGCAACAGCATCCTGTGGGCCGCTCACGGTCAAGATACGTTCAACTGCACCACGGGAGTAGTCGCTGACGGTGCACTTGGCTCCAGACAAATGACGAATTTGAGATACATTTTCCCCACCCTTGCCGATGACTGTGGCAGCTTCCTGGCTGGAGATTACAGCGCGAATGTGAATCCAGCTGGACTCATCTTGTGGGCGGTGCTGTTCGGGTTGAGAAGCAGCGCGCTCGCCATGAGACGCAGTTGACTGAATTGGCTGCGTCTCGGTGGATGCACCCTTACCATTTGGAGCATCAGGAACGACAGTGTCGCCCTGGCCATCAGCGGCGGCACTTGGTGCAGCGGAAGACTCAACCTTGGCATCCGTATAGGCCTCCGACTCGTCTCCCTTTACTACTTTGTCCAAGGCAGGACGCTTGGCTTCTGGCTGATCATTTGGTCCGGAAGGCGAAGAGGGGTCCTCCAAGGGACGCTTGGTCGATTGCAGTGCGGATGGAGAAGCAGACATTGTGTCAACTGTGCAGTCTGGCTTCACTTACGCAAGAAGGCGAAGTGTCAAGAGAATAGCTTTCTTTTTCTTTTCTTTCTTTGCTCTGCCTGAACTGACCGACTATGTACACCAGGAGTTCCCAATAAAACTTGCTGGTGCAGGCGACCGACTGGGAAGGGAATCTGGTGCTTGAAATGACTAGGAAAATTGGTGTTCGTGCACAGTGAAGAGAGCAAGGTTGGTGGAGGAAGGACAGTCGACGAGGAAGATGTGAAGAGGCTGGGTTATCACGGGCCTTGGCTGTTGGAGCAGGAAGCTTCACCAAGATGAAGCGGTGCTAAGGTAGGAGGGTACGATGAAGCGAAGAGGAAGTGATGCTGGATGGTGATGGTAGTGAGAACTCAGAATCCGGACGTGCTCGGAAGGCTGCCAATGGGGCGTTGGGAATAAGATGATGAATATTAGAGCAGAATAAAGCCCTGAGCAACTGCCAAAAATCCAGACGTGCAATTCCTCCGCAAAAAACGCGTTGTCTCCCAACACAGAGGCTGCTGAATCACCGCCACGCAGTAATGGCCCGAAAGGGACTCGTCACAGCTGGAGTCAACACCGAGGACTGAAGAAACAAGCAAGCAGCAGCTATTTGCTTTACAGCTGCACAGAAGATGGGAACGAAGTGAATGAGGCTAGGTAGAGATGACGATGAATAAAGAAACGTCCTCCAGATGTAGCGATGAAGAGATGATGTTGCAAGAAGAGGTGAAGCAAGCTGGTCGCACGGGTCACGCTAGTCCAAATTGCGCTAGCGCAGGGGATGTCATCACGTGAGAATTGGCATCGTGATATGGCATGTGCAAAACAATCATTGTTAGTAATTATGAACAGTTCTCGTTCGGTTGCTGCGTGTTCTCAAGTACAAGGAGACTCGCAGTAAAGTCAAGCAATAGACTCTTCGGCAGATTGAGATCTCGCAGAAATAAATAAAATTGCTATGGATGTCTCCCAAGAAACCGTTGATAAAATCCAACATTTCGCGCAAAAGCGCCAAAAAGCGGAGGAGTTCTACGACGAACACCCGATAAGCCCAGCTCTTTTCGAAGCTTACAACCGCAAGTTGGATGAGACGTTGACGGAGCTGCAGGCTCAAGTCAAACGTCATGAAGATGAGCTGCGCAAGGTACGCCAATGAGCGCCTAGAATATGAGCCGACAGTCGCAAGAGACATCAAGCATGAATAAGGAACACTGACAAGAGCAACAGCTTCGCATGACCACCGCGATTGATTTCGCTCAAATTAATGCAGATCCTTGGGCTCGTGTCTCCCACGTGCGCAGAGCCAAGAAAGCGTATGATGCTGTTCTGCAATCAGAAACGCGACTGCCGAGTCCAGGTTCTCCTTTACCTTCTCTACTTGCGGTTGACGCGGCATCTCATCTCATCAAGGAGAGTAAGACCTCCATTTCACTGACGGTGGAGAAACTGTCTGCCGACCGTCAGCGCTTGAAAGTGGAAGAAGCCAATTTGCGCAATGCGCAATTGATTAGAGACGGGTTGGAGAAAAGAATTGAGCGGCTGAACGCAGAAAAATCGAGTCAAGTCCAGAAAACACCTGCGCAGCTTGCGCATGATCTCGTCAAAGAGCAACAGGAAAAGATCGAGAGACTTGACACTACTACAGAAGAGCTGAAGACCTCTCTCTATAAATTTGTCGAAGATACACTTGCCCCAATGCTCGCTGCAGAAAGTCTGGGCGGTCCCACTGTCGGAGATGCGATGGAAATTTCAGACGCTACCTTGAAAGCGGGCTACACTAGCCATGGGAAGCCTAAGAAACCAAAGACCTCGGCCGAGGGGGCTTCTGACAGTGGCCAACAGCGGATCGATGAGCTTGTTCGTCGCCAAACTGCGCAGGAGGGCAACCAACAGGCAACCCCTATGAACAAAAGAGAGGCGGCGGCGGCTGAGATGCGAGCTCTTCTTACTGCTCTGCTAGATGCGGATTACTCCTACATAGACCTACCGCACGAGTCAGCGGCCTCGCGCTTTCTAGTAAGAGCCAAGGTGGCTCAATTTCATCCGCGTGATGCCAGGAAGCTGCGATTGATTGATTTTGGGCGCTCAATAGTCGATTGAGATGACTACATGTATCATGCTACATCCCCCAGCTTATAAATGGTATCATAATTCACCAAACACTTGGGAAAAGACAAACAGTCAGACGCCATCCCCATGGATATATAGCGGCTCAACCGAAAGCCAGTAAGAAATCTAGAACGGGCAAAAACCACGCTTTTCAAGGCCACAGGAGCGGTTCCGGAAAACCCCAGGCAGCAAAACGCCTGAAAATGCGAGAGATACATCAAACGCTCATCAAAAGTTCAATGCTTGGGCTTTGAAATATACCGCTAACGTCATAAATGAGACTCGTAGAAAAAGAAAGACCATAGGCAGGTATCAGACGGGCATCATTCCAATGCTGGAAGAAGTACTCTTGGCAGTATTTTTTGCTTTGGGGCCAGTTCGGGAACCGGCAGAGCGCTTGTCGACATGATCAGTGGACTTCTTTCTAGGTCGCGGTGTTTTCGTCCTTGAACTCGACCCGGTAGCGTTCTTGCGGTGGAATCGCTTCTTGGACGAAGTCTTTCTTTTCTTGGAACGGTTAGTCTGAGTGTCTTGATACTCGTTGTAAGATTCAGAATCTGTCCCTAGCTGCGATGGGAAGTATCGACTTGAAACAACCTTGTCTTCCTCTTGAATTGATGCCAATTGATCCACGAATAGGTCTTCACCATCGCTAAACTCGTCGTCCGAGAGGTTGTACACGTTATGATGGTTGGGATCCGGAACAACATCGTCGTTATTGTCACGTTCCTGTTTCAATTCCTCATACCGACGCTGAGCATCGCGTACGAGCTTCAGTATGGGTGTTCCGTACCGATTGACCTTATCTTGGTCTATTCCAGGGATCTGAGCAAGTTCCGACAGGTCTACTTGATATCAGCATTCTTCCTGGTTGGCCTGAAAATTGGATGATTCACTCACTTTTAGGAAAGACTATGGCCATTTCGCGCAGAATCCCGTCACTGAAAGGCTGGTTGCGAAGATTCTTTCTGAGGACCAACTGCCGTAAAGTCAGCGATCTTGCCTTGATAATGAGTATGAGTGGGGCACCCTACATCCTGACAGAAGCTCTTGGCATAGAACATGAAGTCCTCGGCGACAGTTTTATGGAGAGAATCGAGGCTGTCGAACCGCTGGTCACCGGTGATCGGCGGACCCGGACTGCGACGGGCTTCATGTCGCGGCTTGCCGGCTATCCGAATCTGTTCAAAGCCGTCACTGTCCATTTCGCCGTCGGAATCGCGTTGGTAGCGATACTGTGCCAAGCGTCGGCGATTTGCTGATTGCACGGGAGATGAGACATTTGTGGACTGGGGCGCTTCGGCGCGAGGTCTGACAGCTGCCGTTGGGCCTTTTCCATTTGGTGATACTTGCACGGGCATTTTCAGTTTGCACCGGCCGCTCTCGAAATCAGCGGCACGCCGACCAAGCTTGATATATTGGACTGCAAATCTGCTGCCGTTGACCACATTTTCTTCGAAGAGAGCCCCCTCGACAAGAAGATATTGAAAGAGTCGTTCCGCGACCTGCAAGTCCAGCCCCGATCCTGCGCCGAAACCAGGAGCATCCTTGTGCTCGGGGGAGCGGAATCTTTTCACGCTTCCCCGGAAGATATTCACGCAATAGGACATAGTAACCTTGTCCTCGAGGTCCTGGAAGTATCGCACGATCTTCAAAACAGAAGCGGCTTGCTGAGAGAAGTCATGGTGCTCAAAAATAGCGTCGGATTTGCAATTATCGCAAGACTTGTTGCAGTCATTTTGGCGGAAATATTCATTGAAGTATGCAAGAATCTGCACTCTTCTGCAATCTGCAAGATTAAGACAGTACTGCATAACGTTCCGTAACATTTGACGCTGTCGATGTTTCTGTTGCTTGTCACCCTCGCCTTTGTCGATCATACTCATGATGGAGGTCGCATCCCGATAAGAGTAATAGAGGTAGCAGCCGGAGCGCTTGCCATCCCGACCTGCACGCCCAGTCTCTTGGTAGTATCCTTCTAAGCTCTTTGGGATGCTGTGATGAATGACGAAGCGTACGTCGGGCTTATCGATACCCATTCCAAAGGCAATAGTCGCAACTATCACATGAACGCGGCCGGACTGCCACCATTCCTGTACCTCCGCCCTCTTGGAGGAATCCATACCAGCATGATAATATTCGGCCTTGATGTTGTATTGCGATGTAAGAGCTTCTGCAACAGTTTCACAAGTTTTGCGCGACAGACAATAGACAATGCCAGACTTATTAGGGTACGATGTTTTGATTATGTCGGCTATGCTATCCAGGACCTCGGCAGATTTCGTCTTTCGTCGTACCTCGTATGTCAGATTGGGACGGTTGAAACTTTGAGTAAAGATCTCACAACCCTCCATCTTCAGGTTATGAATGACGTCTACCTTGACATTCTCTGTTGCCGTGGCAGTCAATGCCATCATCGGAACGCCGGGCAACTGATCTCTGACTTCTCCCAGCGCTTTGTAGTCAGGGCGGAAGTCGTGTCCCCATTGACTGACACAATGAGCTTCATCAATCACAATGCGAGCAAGTCTGCGTCGTCTATTGAGTTTCTCCAGGCTTCGGATGAGAGCTTGACTCTTGTTGACCATCTCCGGGGTAATGTACAGCAGTTCAATCTGTTCTTCAGCTGTGGGCCCAGACAGTGTTTGCATAATCCATTGCCTCTCCTCTTGCTTCGTTTCACCATTCAATACGAATGCTTTGATCTTTAGTCGTTTCAAATGTGATACCTGGTCTTGCATCAAGCTTAAAAGCGGCGACACCACGATTGTAACTCCCCTGGTTGAGCCGCTAGTAACAACGGAGGGCAGCTGGTAGCACAGGGACTTTCCTCCTCCCGTAGGCATGAGGACGAAGGTATCCTTTCCACTCAACGTAGCATCTATAGCCTCAAGCTGGTTCATTCGGAATCCGCGAAGGTGGAACCTATCTCTCAAGACACTTTTCACATCCTTTGTCCACGGATTTTGATTCCATAGGGGGTTGTGGGTTTGCGACTTCTGTGTTGCAGGCATACGAGACGCGTTCCCGGAAGTCTCAGCAAAGACTCTGCGAGTTTCGTACCCGGAGGTCTCGGTTGTCAACGTCAGACCGTCGTCAAAATGCTCTGCAGCTTCCAGCATATCCACATCATCGGCATCCAAATCAAACTCATCGACGTTGCCAAGCGGACGCGACGGACTCCCCATAGTTCTCGTAAAAGCTTCATGTTCCTCATAGATCATTGGCTCAACCAACCCGAACTCATCAAGCGCGTTACTCCCGCCAGGGGTCTTGAATGACGTGCCAGACGTGCGTTCGGATACATTCGTCCGCGAAAGGTTACGGTCAAACGAGTTCCGCACGGGAGACATGATGCGAGAACCGGGAGCTTCTCGCGCCTTTCCCAAACGTACAATGTCCCCATTCTTCAAAGGTCCCATAGAACGTGGCCCGGAGTCGCAGGAAGCCTGTTGCGAGCCACGTTTTGCGGCATCTCGCGTCATTGAATTCAGAGTCTCAGAGTCAATACCGGCTCTTCTCAGTAGGCAGCTCATATTCTCCTCAATCTTCTGAAGCTTTGAGGTGACGTCTCGACTTTGAGCAATTTCGTCCGGCATCGTTTGAGGGTCACCGCCTCGTGAAATTAGTTGTATGAGAGCTTTCTTTAAGCTCTCCTTCTTCGCTTCGTATGCCTGATATTCCTCTTTCTCTTGTTTCAGCAAACCAATAGCATCCATTTTTTCAGTGATGGACTTGTTCTCAGAGATGAACTCGGGCGCTGGCTCGCCTCGCATAGCTTGTTGGTAGACGATTTCCGAATTCTTTGTGAGGGTGTCTTGGAGATTTGATAATAAGTCGTCAAGCGAGGTAACTGGAAGTTTTAGAAACTGAAGAACGGCTTGATCCCGAGGTTGAGATCCAGGTAAATAGGAAGCGACAGGCGCCTGAGAAGCTTGCTGATCACTCGCATGCACCTTGTCCTTTGACCCTGAAGCAGGCGCTAGGTTGCTTCGCGGTATGGCACTAGCTAAATGCAAAGTGGGAACAGAATCCTTCTTTGATCGCTTTGAGGGCTCAACGACTTCGGTGTCGCTGACAGAGGAGACTTGGGGGAGAACAGGATACAGGGCGTCGTCATCACAAAGAATCGGATCCTCTTCCTCTTCAATCCATTCAAATAAGTTGTCAGTGTCGTCATTATCGTCAGAATCGGCTATGACAGTGTTTGGACGAGCGGGCCGAGATAGGGACGCCTCACGTTCCCACTGTTTCGCCAGTGACGAAATACGATCATTCGAAGCTGGTTGGGATTTTTTCGATCGAGCTTGGGACTCACGTGGCAAGCAACTGTGTTCAGGATACGCAGATTTTGTGGAAACGAGAGGCGAGGGCGAGCGAGGTTTGTGGGCGCACCGTCTTGGTGACAAGAGATCTGAAATGTACTCGTCGCTTTTCCGTTTCCTGCCCCTCTTCTCGATCGGTTCTTTGCGGGACGCAGCATCCTCTGTCCATAATCGCCGTGGTGTACCAAAATCTTCCACCGTGTCAGACGAGGCTGTAGGCTGTTCCACGTCGCCTGTCAAATCGATAGAATCAATATCCAGTAACGGCGAGGTCAGATCCACCGCATGCTTTGATCGAAGTGGCGTCCTTAATGGCCGACTAGGACTATCAAAAGAAGCAGAAAAGCCTCGCTGAGTCGCTACATAATCCGGATCATCGTCAGCTCAAGGACGCACCTAGCAAAAGTTCACCATCCTACCTTGAGCAAGACCGTGCTGGTCTGCTGTTCCTCTCTGTTCTGTAAAGGACTGCGCTAAAGGGCGGACTTTTGCGGCATTTGGAGTGCTTGTCGGGCGTTCTCCAGGGCGACTAAGCAATCGAGATTTACTCGCGGATTGAGGGGCAAGTAGCAATCGTGCCATGTTCGTGTCGGAATCTACCTCTGTGACGTTGCCTCCATCATCACCTTTCTCTTCGTTGATTTTTATATTTTTGATGGCCTGGGA